CAGTCTCTGTCATCTTAAACTTTTATCATTTATGGTGAGGACATTCAAAATCCTCTTTCTAGTTGTTGGGATATGTAATGCTTTACTCTTAGCCACGTGCATCCTAGTGTGCCACAGAACACCAGACCTCAGGCTTCTGTGCAGCAGTAATGTGGGCCCATTGACCAACACCTCCCTATTTCCTCCCCTACTCCACTCAGTTTCTGTAACCACTAATCTACTCTGAACTTCTATGATAATGACTTTTTTAAAGATTGCACATGAGTAAGCTGTGTTACCTCTGCGAACAGTTAATCTCCCCTCCACCCCCACAAATTTCTATTGACCTTCTGTACCTGCTTGTTTTATTTAAAATCATGTCCTCCAGGTCCATTCATATTACCACAATTGACAGGATTTCATCCTTCTTTATAGATGAATAGTATTTCATTGTGTATATGTACCACATTTTCTTTCATTCACTCATCCAATGAGGGACACCTTGGTGAATTCCATTTCTTAGCTATTGTGAACAATGCTACAATAAACACAGAAGTGCAGGTAGTTCTCTGATATCATGATTTCATTTCCTGTGGATATACACCCAGTAGTGGGATTGTTGGATCACATAGTAGTTCTATTTTTAACTTTTTCAGAAAACTTTAAGGACTTTATTAATTTACATCCTACCAAGTGTGGTAAAGTTTCCCTTTTTTGGATTCCTGTCAGAAAAATCCTTTGTCTTTTTGATAATAAGTATTCTAAGTGAGGAGAGGTGATGTCTCCTTATGTTTTGATTTGCATTTCCCTGATTGATGCTAAGCATTTTCTTCTAAGCACTTGTTAGGTTCTTTCTCTAATCACAGATTATTAGAGAATGTTAGAGCTCATGAAGTGCTTTTTCCTGACCTCTAGTGGCCATGGCCATGAAGGTGCTCGTGGGTGTGTGTAAACGGAGATGATGGGTAGAAAAGGACAGCTGGTATTGGGTTGAAAACCTATATTCCAGGCACTGTGCCAGAGAATAACATGGGAATTGCCTGAGTTCAGAATCCAGTTCTGTCATATTAACTGGCAAGTGTGGGAAAGTTACTGACATGAGGCTAACAGTAATACCTGCATGGTGAGAGTAATACAGTACTAGGATGGTGTGCGACATGAGGCTACCTATTATTATTATAAGCAGAAGCTTCAAGTCTGTGTGTGTGTGGGGGGGGTTGGATAGAGTGAGAGCGAGAGAGCGAGAGAGAGATATGAATGAAGTTTGGCAAGTAAGAATAAATTGGGACGGTAAAATTTGAAAACTGTTGGGTAAGGATAATCAATAACATTATTTCATAAATGGCAATCCTTAATTTGAATTTAAGGGTTCCCCCTAAATTTCTGTGGGTTGGAAACCTCCATCAACTAGAAAATGGAAATACAGTTGTATTTATATTTTTAAATACTTGGCTGGAAGAAAAGCAAGCTGGATGGAACCCCTACATGATTAGTTTGGGGACTGATGAAGAGGATAATGGAGGAAAGACGTGTTTCAGGGCAATTTGGAGGCTGCTGTAGTGAAGGAATTGTTATGTTGTTGATGACTCCTGACAACCCAAAGGGTGGGTGTGCCCTTTTTGCAGAAGAGTAAGTCGAGGCTCATGGAGGATGGGTGTTTTGTGCCTGGCTGCTAGGCGTGCAGTGCCAGAATCAGGATTTGAGCACAAATCAGTGTGGCATCAAAGCCTGCCTTTTTTTTTTCACTTTACTATCCTGGCGTGTGGGGTGCTAGGAAGAGGATCTGTGCAGTAAGAAGTAAAAAAAGGAATTTTAAGAAATGAAGGTCTCACAGTGGAACTGACTCCTCAGGTGGACACTCTTTTTTAAATTTTTTTTTTATTTTTGAGGCATATTTCTTTTTTTTAATTTTTATTGTTGGTTGTTCAAAACATTACAAAGCTCTTGACATATCATATTTCACACTTTGATTCAAGTGGGTTATGAGCTCCCATTTTTACCCCGTATACAGATTGCAGAATCACATCGGTTACACATCCACTGGTTTACATATTGCCATACTAGTGTCTGTTGTATTCTGCTGCCTTTCCTATCCTCTACTATCCCCCCTCCCCTCCCCTCCCCTCCCCTCCCATCTTCTCTCTCTACCCCATCTACTGTAATTCATTTCTCTCCTTGTTTTTTTTCCCATTCCCCTCACAACCTCTTATATGTAATTTTGTATAACAATGAGGGTCTCCTTCCATTTCCATGCAATTTCCCTTTTCTATCCCTTTCCCTCCCACCTCATGTCTCTGTTTAATGTTAATCTTTTCCTCCTGCTCTTCCTCCCTGCTCTGTTCTTAGTTGCTCTCATTATATCAAAGAAGACATTTGGCATTTGTTTTTAAGGGATTGGCTAGCTTCACTTAGCATGATCTGCTCTAGTGCCATCCATTTCCCTGCAAATTCCATGATTTTGTCATTTTTTAGTGCTGCGTAATACTCCATTGTGTATAAATGCCACATTTTTTTTATCCATTCATCTCTTGAAGGGCATCTGGGTTGGTTCCACAGTCTAACTATTGTGAATTGTGCTGCTATGAACATCGATGTGGCAGTATCCCTGTAGTACGCTCTTTTAAGGTCTTCAGGGAATAGTCCGAGAAGGGCAATAGCTGGGTCAAATGGTGGTTGCATTCCCAGCTTTCCCAGGAATCTCCATACTGCTTTCCAAATTGGCCGCACCAGTTTGCAGTCCCACCAGCAATGTACAAGAGTACCCTTTTCGCCACATCCTCGCCAGCACTTGTTGTTGTTTGACTTCCTAATGGCTGCCAATCTTACTGGAGTGAGATGGTATCTTAGGGTGGTTTTGATTTGCATTTCTCTGACAGCTAGAGATGGTGAGCATTTTTTCATGTACTTGTTGATTGATTGTATGTCCTACAGGTGGACACTCTTGGAATGTCAGTTAATCAAACCATCAGGGCCAAATGTGCCCAGCCTTGTCTCTGGGTCTTCTTTGGCACAAGTGTGGTAGGTCATGGCATCCTGCATGGCCAAATTCACATCCCTGGGAGGGGCGATGGGGGATTAGAAAATAAAAGACTCACAGATTTTGAAGATAAAGCTGGGATCAGGTGGAGTGCTGCTCTCTGATGGAGAAGCAGATCTAAAGAGTGACACCAGCAATCTTTATTTATATATGCTTTATTATCAGGTTAAAGACTATGCAAGCATTATTCTTTGTACTCAGAAAAGTTATAGAACTAAAACATCTATGCAGCTTTTCCATAGTTGCAATGTGCAATGTTAGGATCTTTGTGTAGCGCTCAAGGAGGTCTATTGTTTAAAGTTACTGTTAAGCAAGAAGTCTCAGGAGTAGCAGAGCTGGAGAAACATTGTGATTGTCTAGCATGAGAGTTCCTCTATACCTGGGAGTTATGTGCCTTAGATCAAGGTTGAAGCTCATAAGACTCCTTCATAGAGCATCCTCAGGCAGGGCTTTACCATAGCAGCTAGGCATCCTATGCCCATGAACAGAAACTTTCCCAGGCACCAGACACGCCACAGCCATGAGGTCATGAGAGACCCCCGATCTCAGTCACTGTGCTCCCATTCTCATTAACCACTCTCCACAATAGGTTGCTAACCACTACCAGATGGGCTAATTAGCTCTCAGAAACTGCAACTCACTTAGGCTACTATGAAGAGGAGATTCTGGAGACCTGATACCAATGCAATATGAGTAGGTAGTTCTATTATCCATGGGAATGAAAATCATATTTTCTGAGTTAAATATTAGAATGCATGTTCTGATAAGCATGTTTGTACTCATCTGGGTAGTAAAGAAAAACATTTAGAACTGGAGCATACATCATGGTAGCTTTTGGTCAAGAAGTACCTGAATTGGTTATCACAAATCTGGGGTCTTAAGCAAGATGCATTCTTTTCCTCACAATTTATAGGAATCAGGTTTGTAGGTACAGCTTAGCTGGGCCCTTTTCAAGAATGCATTCAAGGTATGCATCAGGATTGGGTTCTCATATAAACTTGGCTAGAGAAGGATCTGCTTCCAAGCTCACATGATTATGATTCCATCTGGTTTCCTAAAGTCTTACAGACTAAGGAAGCATTCAGAGTTCACACTGGCTACCAGTTGGAAGCCACCCTTACTTTCTTGTTAACTGTATCTTCCCACATGATAGCTCAAAAAATGGCAGCTTGCTTCTTCAAAGTCAATGAAAAAGAGAGCATATCCTAACAAGATGGGTGCTACAGTCTTAAGTCATGTAATCAAATACACATAATCAATTACATCCTGTAACCCCTACCATGTTCTATCAGACAGAAAAAGGCTGGGTGTGGTGGTGCATGCTTATAATCCTAGCAGCTCAGGAGGCTGAGGCAGGGGGATCTCAAGTTCAAAGCCAGGCTCAGCAAGTTAGTGAAGCTCTAAGCAACTTAGTGAGAACCTGTCTCAAAATAAAAAAAAAAAAAAAAGAGCTGGGGATGTGGCTCAGTGAATTCAATGTGGCTCCCTGAATTCAATTCCTGGTATAGTATATAAACAAATAAAAATAAAAAATAAAAAAGGAAGGAAGGAAGAAAGAAAGAAAAAGGAGGGAGGCCACACTCAAGGGGAGGGGATTAGGTAAAAGGTGAGCACCAAGAGGAAGAATCATAGAAGCCACCTCAGCTTCTGTCTGCCTATTGCCCTGTGTCTGGCTTGAGACAGAGAAGGGGCATGGGAAGTTAAGTCTAGTGAGAGGGCATGGTGCCTCTCAGGACTTGGCCACTTTCCTTGGTGATAAGGGAGCAGAGGCAGCCTCTTTTGTCCTTTCAGGGAGGACTTTGTGAAGGAAGTAGGAGTTCAGTTCAAGGACTGTTTGACAACCAAGGGGGAGCAGTCTGGTAGACTCTAAGAATGGACGATTTGAATAATGGTCCCCAAATGGGGCCTCCTTGTGAGTCATCAAGTCATGCAATCATTGACCGCAGGGCCCAGTCTATGCAGGAGATTGTTCCTTCTCTTGCAGGTGTGGCAGTGTGGAGGGAAGATTGAGATCTTACCCTGCTCCCGGGTGGCTCATCTAGAGAGATACCACAAGCCCTATGCGATGGATCTAAGCATTTTCTTGAAGCGCAATGCTCTGCGAGTGGCCGAAATCTGGATGGATGAATACAAACAGATGGTCTACCTGGCCTGGAACATACCTCTCCAGGTTTGTCATGGACTGAACAGCATCAGGGGGAAAGCTAGCAGCAGGAAGTGGTGGTGGCAGTGAAGAATGAGAAAGAACAGAACAAATATGCTGTTGTGACCATAAAGAATTAGAGTAAGTCCCCAAGGTATAATAATAGTGACACTTAACATTTGTGTGACAATATCATGTTCTAGACAGTGTTTTATATACTGACCCATTAACCATCAGAACCACCTATGGGATATGTTTCACAGAATAGGAAGCCAAGGCACAGAGAATTGGAAGAAGCTTGTTTAACACAGGAACAGACAGTAATTAGACCACGTATGACTCAAAGCAAGAAAATCTGGCTTTTAGATTCTGTGTTCTACATCCATCTTCTATACTGGGGCAGTCTAGCAGAGTAAAATTGGATATCATATATTGGTTAAGAGGACATAAACATAGCAAGTGATACATGGGGTGGTGAGAGGAGCTCCTTTTATCTTGTTAGATGCACATACATGAGGACAACCTTGGCTGAGCCTGCATCTTTTGCCCTGGCCACCTGAGGTTGGTGTGATATGCTGTCTTCTGTCCCTAAGTGCTGGCTCTGGGTTGAAGCATGGTTAGCTGTGTTTGGCACAGAGAGAAGAGGAAGACTCTCTTTCCATCACAGTGGATCCTAAAGTAACCTCCAGAAATCAGAGGGTCAGGATGTTTGGGAGACTGTGGAACAGATCTAGGAGGAAAAGTCTGAAGACAACGTGGAGTTGGGGGTCAGGTTAAACTATGGGGGCACTATTTCTGGAGAAAGTAAAAATAGGCAGAGAAACCCAAGCCTTCTTTAGGATTCAAAGTCATGAAAATCATTCCTTTAACAACTCAAGATACCAATAATCTACAGTTAGCTCATTGTTCATACAAATTTCTTCTGGTGCCCCTGTATGCCGAGGTATGATGGGAAAACAGGAACCCTCCAGGATATCCTTAGCTCTTTTATCTCTACAGAGTCCTACTGTGGCTGTGCCAAGCTATAAAAGGAACTGTCCCTAAACAAATGAACTTCTGCAAAGGTGATTTGAAATGAACCACATAGGAACATTCTGGAAAGAAGGCAGATACCCCATATGGGTTCTGCATTTTTGCTTTTTTTTTTTTTTTTTCTAGTTAGTACTCATTTTTAGAAAGTCTCCAAATCTTGGTGTCAGAACTTTTAAAAAGCCTTTTCTAAGCCATGGTGAGGAATATTTTATACCTTATTGATGTGAATATCATCTCAAACAGGAGCCGTCTGCTTCGGCTTGCTAAAATGAGAAATGAACTGTGGTGTCCCTTCCTGCTCCATGCCGAGTTTGCAAATGTCTTTGAAAACCAGTAGAGGTCCCCAAGGTTGCTTTTCTACATTCCCTGGAAGATAAAATAACAAGGTTACCTCTAGGCTGCCAGGAAAATCCTCAGTCCCTTCATGCAAGGTCCATACCTATTAGTGGAATCAGGAAGTTCTTGTGAACCAAAGCATAGAAATCTTGGTGTTTTATTTCAGAACTCTGGAATTGATTACGGAGACATTTCTTCCAGAATTGCACTCCGGAAGAAATTGAAATGTAAACCTTTTGACTGGTACCTGAAAAATGTTTATCCACTCCTGAAGCCGACCCTCAACATTGTGGGCTATGGAAGAGTACGTGCTGTGAAATGGATTTAGACTTTGAATGCTTGTTTGTGGAAGACAGTGAAACCCAAACCATATGGTTACCCGGCCAAGGGTTTTCCTGCCTGTGTCCCCTTCCTGCCCCATGCCTTCCTCAGCGCTCTGCTCTTGAGAGACTTCCTTTCCTCTATTCCCCAATCCCTGTTTCTTTCCTTCTGCTGCCTCTAGTCCTTTTGCAAACTGCAGCCCTTGCCTGACACTGTTGGTTGCTTAGCCAACTCACGTCTGTAGCAGGATGGGTGCTTTGGTGTCTGCTGTGAGGGTCTGCAGGGGGCAATGTTCCCAAAACGCGGGCAGCACAGCTGCACCTCACCTAAGCTCTGGCTTGTTTCCCAGTGCTCAGCACGTGGCTGCCAGGATCCCAGTTTCTGCTCCTTTTGTCTGTTGGCTTCTTGGTGTTTTAAGGAAAATGCAGGTCCTGGGGAGGCTTTGGGATTGTCTTTCCAAAACTGCATTCATGTTTTTTTTCCCTTCAGATGAAAAACTCATTGGATAAGACTGTCTGCCTGGATCAAGGACCTGTGCCAGGCAATACCCCCATCATGCATCCCTGCCATGAATTCAGTCCACAGGTAACTTCCATCGTCTTCCCTGCCTGACAGGGTGAGTCTGTTTTGGCTCAGCTCCTGGTAACCTCTGTCAGATTTAAACTTGGTGTTAGACGATGGGGACACAAGAGCAGAGTATTCTGGAAGACAGATAAGGGTAAAACTCAAACCTACACTTTTAAGTAGGTTTTGTTGTTGTTGTTGGGGATGGAACCCAAGCCAAGGCCTCTTGCATGCTAGGCAATCATTGTACCACTGAACTATATCTCTAGTCTTTAAGTAAGCACTTTCTGGTTCATTCAAAAGGTCACAGCAAGACAGCTCAGTTTCAGGGACATGTAGAAAGGCTTTGCTCTGTTGTGGTCATTCTCCAGGGGATATTTTCATTGGCAATTGCCTCTAATCCCTTTTTTTCTCTCTTCCCACTGTTCCACCATCTTCCTTTCTCCTGTGCATCCCAGAAATTTGACGGGTGAAGCCACCTGTTCTTCTCTTGCAAAGAAGGAAGCAGAGGGCTAAAGAAAAGAGAGGTGGAATGGAAGTTCCTCTGTGGCATAGAAGTGGGTTGGCACTAAGTTCATCCAGGGGACTTTTTATAAATGGAAAATATTCAAATCTGTCATCTTACTTTGCATGTTGCCATTACAGGAAAGTTTTGAGGTATTCCTGGTGGATATCATTCCCACTTAGGAGATGAAAAACCTGAGGCATGAAAATAACCTATTTGTCCAAGCTCACTGAGCAAGGCATTATCAGATGAGAAATTTGAAAGGCTTCTTGATAACAGGCTCATACTGGGATTTACAGTGACAGCTTCTCAAGTTCAGCTTGAGAAGCTTTGGGAGAAGCTTTCTTCAAAGATCAGCTCCCTCATCCACACACACCATGATTCTTTTGGAGACATTGTAGGAAAGAGGGTAGGCCAAGTGCCCATCCCTAGGCTGGCCTTCTCCCTGGAATCTACTGTCATAGGGGAGGAAGGGTGCAGTTACTCCATGTGGCCAGGAAATTCATGATCCCGGAGCAGCCAGGGCACGGAGAGCCATTCTTGGGCCTCTACACAGCTGAGGCCTCCCTGCTGAGTGTGCCCATGGCAGGTCCCTTGCTATCTTCCAGAATATCTACTACCACCAAACTGGGGAATTCTACATGGGAAATCTGATTGCAGAGGCAAACTCTGATGACCGCTGCCTCACAGATCCTGGCCATGGGGAAAAGCCTACTTTGGAGCGATGTTCTACGGCAGCCCAAAGTGGACTACACATACATTGGGATTTTAAACAGGTGAGTCACATGCCTTTTAAAGGGGAGGTAGATACTAATATAGTTTGAGAGGTTTGACTTGATTTGATAACATTTTTAGATTAATTTTTGTGGCAGCAGGTAAGGGAAAGACTGGAAGCTGGGAATCAGGTGTGAACCACAGAGTCTCTTGACTAAGGCAGGGGTGGATGAGGAGGAGAAGTACTGGAGCTGCCATAGCTTCGTAGAGTTTGGGCTCAAATCCTGGCTTAGTCATCTTTAGCAAGTTTCTGACTATCTCTGATGCTCAGTTTCCTCATCTATAAAACCAAGATAATAGTATTTACTTTGTGGGCCTATCGGGAGGATTAAATGAGAGAAGATTGTGAAGCATTTGGCATGGTGCCTGGCACATAGGAGTTTTTGATAAATATTAGTCATTGCAATTAGTTTTATTTTTAATGATCGTCAAAGTATAGAGGACTAGGCTGAAATCCCACAGGGACTACTGCAAAAGTCCTGGCTTTCACTTCAATATTAAATGGCCAAGAACAGGATAGCGGGAATCTAGCAGAGTTCATGTGTCAATGACATGAAGGACTCGGCTGACCACAGTCTACGTGTGAACCTGCCCCACGTTGGGGCTGCTTCAAAAATTTTTGTGTTCTTTGGCCACTTTCATTAGTCTGTGATGTCCTGTTGGAAGGAGGTTATGGTTTGTGATTGGTACTGCAGAAACTTCAGGTGCTGCATTTTAAAACTCATGGACAATCTATTTCGGCAAGTCCTATCTTTTTAAGGCAAATAACCTCTGTGATGATTTGCTGCTAGCTATGCAGTTTAAATGTATAGGCACCTATGTGCAAAAATTTCCTTATGATTTCAGAGAGGTTTTTCATTCCAGTCTCCCTGAACAATATCAATTAGAGGGAGGAGGGGAGGTAATGCCTTCCCAGTCTCTGTCACCTCCATCTAAGCTACAATGACATGGAACTGCAGGCACTGCAGCAAGAGGCATGCTCCCCCTACCTTAGGCCCATTTCAGATGTCATTCCCTCTCCTCCAACCTCTTCACCAGAACAACCTCAGAGTGCATCCCTGGCTTCAGACAGGGCCTCTCTCTGGGAAGCCTTCCATGACCTTGCAGGAATAGGCTGGGTTCTTCTGTGCTCTCAGGCCCCCCTTGTCTCATTATCTCTTCGACCTGCCTGCTCTCCTGTTTCTTTTCACCACTCATCTGAGAACTGGAGGGCAGGGTCTGGATTTTGCTTGTTGTTTTCTCTCTAGCATCTGTTATAACATCTGGAACATTTCAGGCTCTCAATAAGTGGTTGTGGAACAAGTGAAAGATTGGCAAACTTAGGATTGCTGCGCTTAGTGAAAAGTGGATGCTGTTTTCCTAAGGAAAAGGAGCATGCTAGTCAATTTTCTGTCATTTACATCAAGTACCTGAGCTAATCAACCTATAAAGAGAGGTTTAGTCTGAGTCACAGTTTTGAAGATTCCAGTCCTTGATTGATTGGTCCAGTTGATTTGGGTCTGTAGTGAGGCAGTGCATCAGGGTGGGAGCATGTGGTAGAGTAGACCTCACTTATATCATAAGTCAAGAAGCAAAAGAGAAAGAGGAAGAGACTGGGGTCTTGCAGTCCCCCTTGAAGGCACATCCTCAATCACCTAAAGACCTTCTGCTAGACTCTTCTCTTAAAGGTTCTACCTTCTCCCAATAGTCCCAAACTGGACTTCTTGTGGGCAAAGGGGGTACTTCTTGATGGCCCAGCAGCTTAGCTGTCCTGAACAGGACAGGCTGCCTCACACAGTGCTGAGTTCTCTGTCAATTGTAGTCACCAAGCACAGCACATCTGAGTATCTGGTAAGCCTAGTGTGCTAAATGTGAGTTTTTGATGTCTTTAATGATCTTAGTGCTTTAAACCTAGCAAGTTTTAATTATTTTAATAGGGCATTTTTTTTTACAATTTAATAAATTTATTTAACTGTTATAGACTATATTTCATAAATTTAAATACATAAAATACATAATATATTAAATTGATAAAATTAATTTAAAACATTAAATTTACTTTCTTAAGGACTTTGATTATCTGACTTTATATTTAGTGAACCTGAGTCTCTTAAATGTTTTCCAAAGTGCTTATAAAGTCAGTGAAATCTCTCCCTAAAGACCTAAAAAGAGCATGCTACAGGGACACTGCTACATCGATGTTCATAGCAGCACAATTCACAATAGCAAGACTGTGGAACCAACCTAGATGCCCTTCAATAGACGAATGGATAAAAAAAATGTGGCATTTATACACAATGGAGTATTACTCTGCATTAAAAAATGACAAAAGCATAGAATTTGCAGGGAAATGGATGGCATTAGAGCAGATTATGCTAAGTGAAGCTAGCCAATCCCTAAAAAACAAATGCCAAGTGTCTTCTTTGATATAAGGAGAGTAACTAAGAACAGAGTAGGGACGAAGAGCAGGAGAAGAAGATTAACATTAAACAGGGATGAGAGGTGGGAGGGAAAGGGAGAAAGAAGGGGAAATTGCATGGAAATGGAAGGAGACCCTCAGGGTTATACAAAAGTACATACAAGAGGAAGTGAGGGGAAAGGGGAAAATAATACAAGGGGGAGAAATGAATGACAGTAGAGGGGGTAGAGAGAGAAGAGGGGAGGGGAGGGGAGGGGAGGGGGGATAGTAGAGGATAGGAAAGGCAGCAGAACACAACAGACACCAGTATGGCAATATGTAAATCAATGGATGTGTAACTGATGTAATTCTGCAATCTGTATATGGGGTAAAAATGGGAGTTCATAACCCACTTGAATCAAAGCGTGAAATATGATATATCAAGAAATTTGTAATGTTTTGAACAACCAACAATAAAAAATTAAAAAAAAAAGTCAGTGAAATCTCAACATGCAATCAGAAATTTAATTTGCTCACATTTTAAAATTGCTATCAAAAGGTTAATTTGTAAGATGCTAATTTTCCATAAATATAACAAGTACTTAAAAATAGCAAATACACATAGAATCTTTAGCAAATATTACCTGTTGATTCCCTTAGTATCTATACTTTATCCCAAATCTCCTAGGAATTAAAAATACCATTTATTCCTAAGAGCTCCTTTGGAGGTTCTAGCAGGGGAGTGCAGCTACTCATATATCCTTGACCAAAGAGCAGTCCTCCTCTATTGGGGAAGGGTGTCCTCTTCAACAGAGCATGCAGCTCTAGGAGGAATGCACTAGGCATGGAAAAGAGGAGGAAGGGGACATCTGCTTATCCAGCAAGATCAGTTGAGTCAGTGCGGTGACAGATGTGTCGTAGCCAGATCAGCCTCACTATTTATCCAAAAGAGATAATTATGCATCCCAAATATTTAAAAAGTTGTCTTCCTAAGAGAAATTTGGAAGGTTGCCTTCTCAGCTGACTGAGGCCGATGATAGAATGGAAATTTGGGCTGAGTGTGAGGTCTGCTCTGTAGCACATCCAGGGATGGGCTGCCTGATGCTCCGATGTCCAGGCTGGGTCCCTTTTTATGCCCATTATGCCAAGCAATTCAAAAGTTAAAAGGGAGGTGATCAGGTGGTTCCTGGTATATTATCAAATTTTTGGTTCATCTTGAGTCAATTCCTATCTAGTCCTTCCTATCCATTTTATATCTGAATCAAAATCCTTTTAGATATGAAAACAATATTTGGCTAAATGTTGGGACTCTCTTGTGCTCTATTTACTTTGTAGCACAACTTACACATTCATTCTACTAAAAAGTTACCAAAGTAAAGGATAAGCAGAATCTCTGTATTATTTCTTGTTTATGTGTGGGAATCTTGAAAATAAACCCTGAGCATGAAAAAAAAAAAGTCACTAAAAATATTTTCTGGAATTGAGAGGGTGATCAGACTAGATAATCCCTCTATTTTCTCCCAATGTCATGATTCTGTGTTTTAAATCAACCAGAGAAGGTTATACTCTCTGTGAAGCACAAGGGAGCCAAAGCCAGTGACTGAGAAGGGACCTAATTCAGAGATGGGGTGTTTACAGCCACATGGACTTTGATAGGAGGAGCCTAGCATTGGCAGTAGTGATGCAGTTGAAACAGTGGGTATTTGGGTGAAGGTCAAGACAAAGTGACAGCCCATGACACAAAGAGGATCTCTAGAGTTGGTAGTGAGGAGGAGGAGAACACCCATCCTAAGGGTTCCAGAAACAACTAAGAAAGAGAGCTCTGTGGGTGCTCACACCTTGCTGGTGGGCGAGTGAACCAAAAAGGCTCCAATAGCAATTTGCCTGCACACAGGTGTTATATTTGAATCTGAAAGGCCCCCCCAGGCTTATGTTGAGGTCTTGGTTCCCAATGCATCAATGTTCAGAGGTAGGCCTTTTGGGAAGTTATTAGATAAAGAGGGCTCTGTTTACATTAGTGGATTAAGCCATTGATGAAGTTATACTTTGATGGGCTATTGGGAGATTATGGAAATTTAGGAAATGGAACCTAGTTGAAAGGAGTGGGTCCTTGGGGCATGACCTTGGGGACTATATCTTATCCCTAGAATTTCCTCTCTCTTGGCCTTCTGACCACTGTAAGGTGAGCATTGTTTCTCCACCATGTGCTCCCTGCTGTGATCTTTTTCCTCATCCCAGGCCCAGAAACAACAGAGTCAAGCAATCGCAAACTGAAGTCTCTAAAACCATGAGCCCAAATTCTTTCTTCCTGTTGAGTTGTTTACCTTGGGTATTTTATCAATAGTGATGGAAAGTTGACTAACACAATAGGAAGAGCTCTGACACCAACAACTAACTATGACCCTTTTAAAGGAACTGATTAGTTTTCAGGATAATATCTTAAGAAATAATATAGATTGAAGGCCATGATTAATGTAGAATATATCCTGATATTTTCATAGCAAAATGTCAGGAAAAATGAAATATCCAGTAGTAGTAGGGATTTTTGCTCATTGCTAGAGTGAATATCATATAGATATTCAAATGGTATTCCAAAAGTTATTTAAAAATGATGAAATGAGAAAATATACATAATATTAATTTAAAAGAAGTATATAAAAACCATAAGTACAGTGTTATACCATCATGAGTGGTTCTGATTTTTAAAAATATCATTTTTCCATTAAAATAAGCATATATTCCTTTTGTAAAAGTGAAAATGAAACAAAAACAGAAATCCGTTAAAAATTCTGGCCGCACTGTTCCTAAATAAACACAAGAGCGAAAGTGCATAAGATCCAGATGAACACAATTAAAAGAAGCCAGGTGCTGTAGGGAGTGCTGTCAGAGCCCAAGTCACATGGAAGTCGAGAGAAAATAGAAAATAGGCCACTGAGTTTGTTTAAAACATCACAGTATAATAGCCAAGACTTATCGAGTGTATGTTATAAACCAGGCATTGGGTTAAACATTATCTAATTTAGTCCTTGTAAGACAAAGGTCTTTTATAAGAGAAGTGTTACTTAACAGCTCTGTCTGAACCATGATGAAACTATGGCACAGAGAAGTCAAACCATTTCCCCAAGATTACACAGCATAGTAATTGTGCAGCACTGAAGCAGAGAATCTCAACCACTGTGTGTTACTTCCTGTTTTTTTAGGTATTTGATTCTCTTTTTTTTTTTTCATGTTTTTTATTGGTGCATTATGGTTGTATGAAATGGTGGGACTTGTTGTGTATTCCTACATGCACACAATATAACAATGGAATTTGGCTAATATCACTCCCTAGTAGTTCCCCTTTCCCTCCCTGTGGTCCCTCTCCTCTACTCCTGATCTCTCTTTTTCATGAGACTCCCCCACCCAAAGTTTTTTGTACCTTTTTCCTCTCTAGCTTCCACATAGGAGAGACAATATATGGCCCTTGGCTTTCTGAGTTTCATTTATTTAGCTTAACATGGTGTTCTCAAGTTCTATCCATTTTCTTGCAAATGACAAAATTTCATTCTTCTTTATGGCTGAATAAATCTCCATTGTGTGTATATACCACATTTTCTTTATCCATTGGTAGATACCTACGCTGGTTCCATAGTTTGGCTATTGTGAATTGTGCTGCTATAAACATAGGTATGCATGTCTCACTCTAGTCTGATGACTTTTATTTTTTAAAAGGGGCAAAACCACTAAATATTAGTTAAGCAGGAGAGCTTTGAGTTTGTGATCCTCCCCTCCTTCTAACATTATGACATCTTTAAAGCTAGTAGAAAATAAATGTGCAGAGAGGGAGAAATAAAATAAGGGTGTTAGACTGGAAGAATGTTTGCTAGCATCAAGGGTGGCTGATTCAGAGCACAAACAGGCTACTGACTGGCGAGACAGGGACAGGCAGCTCCTTTGAGATCATCCATGAGGCAGCATCCCGTGGATCACTGGTGGTTTTCAGGTGAAGATATAAATGGAGTGTGATCTTCTTGACATTTGCTGAAAGTGTCAGGGTGGGGATCCAGGGACAGAATGTGCTGTAGAGGCCTAGAAGAGTGACACAGAGGGGCAAGCCAAGCCTGAGGCCAGGCTGCTGTAGATGCCTTGTTGAGCCGGGTTGGTGGACTCTGTCCAGGAGCCCTCTGTGGTCAGGGGCTGAGAGCAGGGAGTGGTGGGTGGTGGAGAAGTTCCAGAACCTGGAGAGGAGCCCTGCGTGGCAGACACTGGATGAATGCCCTGAGAATGGGGGGTGGAGGGGCACCCAGGGAGTATAGGTCAGATGGTTTGGGGGGACCAGGGGTTGTTGGAAGTAGTTTGTGATTGTGAGAGGTGAGAAGCAGGGAGGCAGAGGTTTGAAGATCTTAGAGCTGCAGCCCTTGCTGTTAAAAGCCCTGGTGACGGTGTATCTGAGGGACAGTGTGATCAGGTGACTCAATGGACCTCTCATCGAATGCATGAACTCTGACGATGGTAGCAGAAGGTGGTGAATAAAGGAAGAAGCCCCTTACCCAGGAACTAACACAGACTAGGGAGTGATTCTAGCAAAGATTGGAGAGGGGCATGGGGGTGAGAGGGGCGTGGGGGTGAGAGGGTTAGGAGCAGATGCAGGCTCAGCTTGGACAGATGGCAAGATTGCCAAGTGCTGAGATGTAGAGTTCAGAAAGAGGTGGGGCAAGGGGTGGAGGTCAGAGGGAGAACACAGGAGCATGGAGGAGGACCCTTCTTCCTCTTTCCCTATGAGAAGGGATAGGGCCAAGATGGTCTCAGATTCGTTGTGCATCTTTCATATGTCAGGCACCAGATGCTCAATCAATATTAACACAAATTTTAAACTTTAAAATGTATTCAAAACCTATTTTACAGATGAAGAAATCGAGACTTGGGGAGGTTAGGTGCCCAAGGCCACCTGGTTTGTATATGAGGGAATTAATCCTGACTGTTGAGCACTGATGCCCACAGTGTTCCCAGTAGTGAACTTTGTTGAAGCCCCCATGACAAGAGGCAGGAAGCTGCCACCCAGAATGGTGGAGAAGGTAAATTGAGTTCCTCCCATGTGGCTTCTGCTCCAGGTCCTTGACGGAGCCCTGCTGAGGAGGGAAAGGAAGGCAAAGGAAGGGCAAGCCTGAGGGGTTCCATGGGCTCAGGTCTGGAGAGACAGAAAAGAGGGACAAATTTGAAAACAAGATGTCATGGTGTTAGGCCAGTCAGCATTGGCCTCCTGCTTCAGTCTCCAGGGAGGCCCATGGTGCTTATGAACTCAGCTCTGTGGGCTTAGCTGGCTGCAGGGCTGGTGCAGAAAGCACTGGGGGGTTGAATTCCACACATTGCTTCTCATTTTCACTGGGGAACTTGCAAAGGATCCAGGGACCCTGGCAGACCACAGCACAGAGAGCAGGCCCCCAGGAGGATGCTGTGCTATTGCTATCACCTTGACTCTCCCTCCTCCCACCCAGGGAAGAGCCATCGTAAACAGGGACACCAAACGGTGTCTGGAGATCAGGAAGCACTCTTCTGGGGCCTACATGCTTGTGCTGCAGAAGTGTACCACGCAAACGTGGGAATTACAGTACATCATCAGAAACTGGGATCAGACCGATGTCCAGTGAGCCTGCAGAGTCTGAATTTGGGACACCAATTCTCACAACTGGAATGGCATCTACCCCCAGTGCTGTGCAATGTGGGAGAGGGTGAAGGAAAGGAAGTGAGTGTGTGTGTGTGTGTGTGTGTGTGTGTGTGTGTGTTTACTGTGATCTCAGCGTGCAAGACCCAGGACGTGGAGTCCTGTGCACGTGTCAGGGCACCACGGCTGAGGACCGGAGCAGAAACTGATGCCTTGTGCCCAGCTTCCCTTGGAAGATCGTGATATCTATCAAATGCCATTCTTGGAAACTCCTTGAAATAGCCTGTCTCATCTGCTTGTTCTGTGGAAAGTGGAGGAGGAGGATGGAAGTTTATCTCTGACTTCCACCAACGCTGTTTAGCCTTCATTCCAACAGCTACTATCGCCACCTGTCCCACACCTCCTCCCCAGCTCAGCTGCTCAGAGACTCCCCAGTCTGTTCCACGTGAGAGGCTGGGTCCTCCTCATGCCAGTGGCAGTGTGATCACCATCCAGGTGGCATGACCTCCCTCTCCTTTCTGGACTGTCCTGAAAGATACAACAAGTAGACCAGTCACTTTAACAAATTCCTCCATTTGTGTGCTCCCTACTCCATGACAGCTTTATTGGAATTACCTGTCTTTCCCATGAAAAAGAGATTGCAGAGGCTGAGGAGAGGAGGGAAAGAACCTCACCCAATCATAGCTTTTCAAGGGACAGTTCACAGAAAATGGTAGAAAAATCCAATTCCTTGTGAATCTGTTCATAATGTCTGATGATTAGATCTCACCTATTTCTTTCTATTGCCCCCCAAAATTATGGAGAAAATGAGGATTAGAATAGATAGCCATCACCTATTGGGGCACAAAGAAGGGATTTGCAGGCAAAAAAACTTTAAACCAGGATTCTTATGTCTGTTCATTGGGTAGATCCTTCCCTGTAGTTATCCAGGGCTACCACGTTTTGGTGAGATCTTAGGGACCCAGGTGTGTGCTATGTTGTGGGCTTACCCAGGAAGTATGGACTCCTGGGTTGCCTTCCTAAGAAGGCTGCTTTTTCCTTAGTTCCATGTCAGGGGTACCTGGGAATCATCAGGTTTCCTTTAGGTATTAGGCAGGAAAGACACTGGTAATTTGGCACAGAATTAAATTGGCTAAGACTTTTAAAAATAAGCTTTAGAAGTGTATCCTAAGTATGCAGCTTGATCAAAACTTCACAGTGAACAAACACATGACTATCAACAAGTAAGAATTATTGTGAATAAGATCCTATTGTTAAAAAATTAAATGTTAAGCAAATGTATTACTTCTGGTTTCTTCCTGGCAAACTGAAGGGAAAATAAAATTGAGAACAAAGGTTTTAAAAAGCATGTACGTAGGCTGGGGATGTGGCTCAAGCGGTAGTGCGCTCGCCTGGCATGTGCGGGGCGCTGGGTTGGATCCTCAGCACCACATAAAAATGAAATGAAGATGTGTGTCCACCGAAAACTAAAATATAAATATTAAAAAATTCTCTCTCTCTCTTAAAAAAAATTGTATGCAATAGAAAAGCAGGCAAAAGACACACTAGGCTTACACATTTAAAAAAACATTTGACCTCATTCACAGAGAAATGAAAATTAAAAGTGAACTGAGATAATTTTTCATTTAAATTGGCAAAGGTAAACAAAACAAAACAAAACAAAACAAAAAACACAACAGCACCATTCCATGGGAGGAATGTGGAGACTGGCAGTCTCTTGATGGGAGGACGTAAAATGGCACAATCTCAGTTGGTATTTGGCAATATCTAATTCTTTGCAGTACTAGGTGTAAGTGAAACATGTTGGAGGTAAACTGTGTACCCAAGCTTCAGAGGGTGGCTAAATAAATCCACACAGTAGGGTATTAGGTGGCTGTAAAAAGGACCAGGAGCATCTCTCTGAACTGATATGGAGTGATTACATGTATATTTTGCTCAGTGGAATAAGAAAACTAGCATCTATAAGTATGTATCTTTTAGGTAGAAAATAAGGAGAAAATATACATGTGTCTGTTCTTTTCTGCAAAATAAAACCTGAGAAGGATAAACCAGAAACTATTGAGATTGTTACAATGGATGGTGGTAGTTGGGAACAGGGTGCCAAGGACCGGGGAACAGGATAGAAGAGATGCGGGGGGAGTGGCATTCTCATAAGTAGACTTTTTTCTCTGTGGATTTGACATTTAGAATCATGTTTCATATGTTCAAAATAAAAATACATAAAAATCAAATATATAAACCAAAAATGGATCATAAACAAAAGTAAGTGAATCTAGCCATATATCTCTACTTTAGATGAACACTTCTCTGCACATACACACATACACTGAGCATACCTAGCATTCGACATTCAGACCTTCGTTTCTAAATATTTAGAATTAGGACTCCTTAGGGAAATAGCTAATTTTAAGGCTCTGGCTCTAATATCTTCCTGTGTTGAAAGAAAGAAACTTCTCAAAGAATGGTAGGATATGTTACAACCCACAGTAACCAAGTTGAAAGGGGTTCCACTGGCTAAATCTGGGACAATTTGAACATTAAAATTAATATTGATCACAATAGCCAAAGAATAAGATAAGAATCCATGAGATATTTCAAATGAATAAAAAATGAATTAGGAGTAGGGAAAGTTCTTCCTTGCAATAGAATGCCAACTAATAATTGTTAAAAGGATTATCAAATTAGGAAATCAAAACTTGGCACGCACACAGTTAAAATTGTTTCAGGCAAGACTCACCAATGGATATTAAAACTAGTGGGTGATGAGAAATGGGAAAAGCATGCATACACCACAAATGTATGTACACAAAAATATATAATTAAAGTAACTTCCCAGAAGATATTTATCCATTACAGCAGCGGGAAGATAGTAATTTTATGGGTGAGAAACCTGGCAGATGCCATGTTACTTGAACAGTCAACATCAACATCAGTAGCTGGACAAATTGACAGCTTGTGCCTCTTGATATGATGTGTCAAGAACATAGCATCACTTCTAGGCTATTCCTGCCCAAAATGCAGAGCCTGAACTTATAATCTTTGTGAAACTTCAATTAAACTCAAATCGAGAGACATTCTTCAAAAGAAATAGTCTGTATGCTTCAAAAATGTTAAAGTCATGAAAGTTGAAGAAGTACTGAGAGGCTTTCAGACTAAAGGAGATGAAAGAGAGACAGCAGCTGAATGTGATGTGTGGTTCTGGACCTGAGGGGATTTCTCTCCCCTTTCAGTTATAAGGAACACCAGTAGATAATTGCTGAAATTGGAATCAGGTTGGTTGATGAGATAATAGTATTGTATCTATGTTATTTCATTGTACACTGGCTATATAAGAAAATGTCCTTGATTTTATGAAACAATCACTGAATGGATTTGGGGGTAGGACATGATCAGATTTTACATATGTGGATGAAAGGTCGAACAGGGGATGGTAAAACAAATGTAGGTAAGTGAAACTGGCTGAACATAGTAGAGGGTATGCAGGAATTCTTTGTACTGGGTACTCACAACTTTTCTGTAAGTCTGACATTATTTTAAAATAAAACACATTTTAATTTAAAACAAATTCAAACAAAAAATTGCCTACCTAGATAAACTATTGAAAGCAAAACTTCATCCAGGGTTTTGCTTTCTACAGTTTCAATTATCTGAGGTCAATGGGGATCCAAAAGTATTGAATGGAAAATTCTGGAAATAAAAATTCATAAGTTTGAAATAACTTTTATTACTTTGTATCGTTATACTTCTTCTATTTTGTTATTAATTATTATTGCTAATCTCTCATGTGCCTAGTTTTGAAATCAAACTTTATCATAGGTATATATAGGAAAAAAATGTCTATATAGGGTTTGGTATGATCCACAGTTCCAGGTATCTCCTGAGAGTTTTGGAATAGATCCCCCTCGGATCAGGAAGGACTCTTGTACATTAAATATCCCTTCCCACTAACTGCAGCTTAATCTAAGAAATAGCAGCTTAATCCAACGTTGGTGTCTTTTGTTCTTAAGGGGAAATCTGTAATTTTCTCACATAGTAGTTAGATGGTCAGACAGACCTGAGGCCCTGGCTTCCCAGAGGCTCTGATCCAGCAGGTCAGCTATGAGGAGGAGGGTGTGGGCTGGCTTCCTTCATTCAAAAGTCTGACCATCACTTGTTCCTCTGGTCACCTGCTACCTCCAGCCCTCATTGGTCAGGACTCATGAGGGTTGTCTCTGTGATGGACTTTAGCCCAGTCAGGAAACTGTTCCCTTGGTAACCACCAAAAGATAGCAATTTGCAAGTTTATCATTCCTATTCACTGATTCACTAATTGTTCTCCCCCACCTCCTTTCATTTTTGAGAATGATGGTGCTCTACATAAGTTAGCGCTATCTAAACATTGACAGGTGTTAAACTTGTTGATGACGCTGGAACTTCAAAGGTCACCAAATCCCCACAGAGAAGTCCTTCTGTGTTTGTAACCAGGAGTTGGATTTCTGGAACCGTGGTCCTGCCCATCCCCTCCCTCTGACCCAGACAGTGGTAATCTCTTACCACTTGCAATGTCTTGCAATGCTCATTTTCCTCTCCATCCACCTTTACCTCTAGCTTTTCTGAAGCCTGTGCCTCATGTTTCCCTCATGGGCCGCAGGGGGACACTATGCCTGGAGGTCTTGGGGAGCCACAGTTCACTTTACAACATGGCTCTCTCTTCTTGACCCCAAAGTGAAAGGCGTGGCTCCTTTTTTCATTCTACCTGTCCCAAACCAAAGTGACAATGCAACTCTTTTTGTTCTTCCCCAACCCAACTTCAAGCAGGAACCCCAGGGAAGCAATTTGGATCACCATTCTCTTTATTATAGCAAAGGGGGCCTAGAGACTGGGTCACTGCCATCATGTGCCTGATTGTCCTTCTTCAGGTCCTTTGCATCATCTGCATCAGGCTTACATATCCCAACCTCAGGGTGCACAACTTCTCATCCATGTGAGATCTAAGGGAGGAAGGGCTGAGGGCCGAATCGTAACAAATGGAGATTCTAGCAGTTTTAATCTCTTACAGAGTCCCTTTATTGTACTTATAATACATTTCCACAATGGAAAATGTGCTTTAGCTAATTTCCTAAATTTAAGAAAATTTGTAAAGTCCTTTTATAGAGATTACCTAAAATAGTTAGGTGGATAATACCATAGTGAGTTAATTATCACCTGAATTTGTGGGTAAAATCAACTCATGACTATAAGTTATAATTTCAAAATCACATTTTTTTTTCTCTTCTAAACATTTTAGCAAATATAATTTCAAGGAGTGAATTTATTTCAGGATTAAAAGGCTAGCCAGGTACATTAGTATACGCCTGTAATCCCAGCAGCTTGGGAGGCTGAGGCAGGAGAAATGCAAGTTTGAGGCCATCCTTGGCAATTTAGTGAGACTATCTAAAAATAAGAAGGGCAGAGGATGCAGAGGGCTCTGGGTTCAATCCCCATTACCACCCACCCCGCCAAAAGATTGCAATTTGCAAGTCTGTCATCCTTAAGCTATAAAAACCAAATTGCTCAATATAACCATAGAGCTATTGTCCTGTAGAAAACAAGTACCTAAAACAAGAACAAAAATCCCAGGCAGAAGAGTCAAATGTATGACAAGAAATATGTATAGTTTAACTTTAATTGGTGAAAGCAGTTATGCCAATA